TGATATACACCTGAACAACAGCAGGAGAGGACTCTTTAAAGTAGAGACACTACATACTGATATACACCTGAACATCAGCAGGAGAGGACTCTTTAAAGTAGAGACAATACATACTGATATACACCTGAACATCAGCAGGAGAGGACTCTTTAAAGTAGAGACACTACATACTGATATACACCTGAACATCAGCAGGAGAGGACTCTTTAAAGTAGAGACACTACATACTGATATACACCTGAACATCAGCAGGAGAGGACTCTTTAAAGTAGAGACACTACATACTGATATACACCTGAACATCAGCAGGAGAGGACTCTTTAAAGTAGAGACACTACATACTGATATGCACCTGAACATCAGCAGGAGAGGACTCTTTAAAGTAGAGACACTACATACTGATATACACCTGAACATCAGCAGGAGAGGACTCTTTAAAGTAGAGACACTACATACTGATATACACCTGAACATCAGCAGGAGAGGACTCTTTAAAGTAGAGACACTACATACTGATATACACCTGAACATCAGCAGGAGAGGACTCTTTAAAGTANCAATAAAGTGATAGCGCGTCGTTATAGTTTTGCTCCGCTTTGACTGTTTTTATACGGGGCAATGGCTGCAAAGCACGACTGGATGGATTGTTGTTATTTGATGTTACGGCGACGTGTGTGTGGGCTTAGCTTCGTGTTGTGGTGTGCTAGCTTGAGCCCATTTCCACACTCTACTGTGTAGTTAGTGGAGGTGGTGCCTTTTCAGGTTGATTGAAAAGTTAGTTCGTATTCCCCGTCCTGGCTGGTACTACCCACCGCATATTTTGCCAGTACCGGGCTTCGCATCTGCTCCTGGTCGCTTTGCCATAACCGAACCATTCACACAGCTGACTTGGTGTGACATTTTTGTCAGACTATGTCTTCTTAGTAGGCCATACGGTGTCGCTATTCGCGTTCGCCAATAATTTCATTTCACGGTCCTCTTTAGTTTCGCCATTTTTGGACAACTTCTTTGTTCATCCCTTTCTCCCTCTGCGTCTTCAGTCTCACTCTGTAGGCCCGCTGCTCGGCTCCGTGGGCGTGTCCTACCGGGCATACAGAGCAACTGAATACGTGTTTTGCGCCTAGGCGGCCTACTTTTATTTAAGATGTCATATCGAATAATCATGTCCCAAGCATAATATCGCAATCATCAAAATTTATCCGGATCCCGGAACCGAGATCGAATTATCGCCCGCCCTGAGCATAACATTTAAATACTCATGTAAAGTACAAGTAGCCTACCTCAAAATTGTACTTAAGTACAGTACTTTTAGTCAGGATGTCAAAGTACACACACCCTTTACTCAAGTAGAATCAGATACTGGTGTTTAAAAATATACTCTGGTGAAAGTAGAAGTACTGACTAAACTCTTTACTCAAGCAAAGTAAAGAGCGCTTTGAAAATTACTTCAGTAAAAAGTACCCATAACTAGCAGCTGTTTTAAAGAGTACCGACCTCCCTTATATTTAATAGGAAACAATAATTCATTGTTAGCTAATGAATGTTTCCATGCTGAACAACGGGCAACATGAACAACGTTTCATTGTCCCTCTTCTTTTAGGAAGACAGGGAAATGATGGATACACGGATCGTGTTCAAATCAATAGCACGAAGACTCTAAATAATAATGAAATCACGCCACAAACACACATTCAGACTAAAGGAACCAGCCTGTTTGGAAAATGAGGAAGTAGAAAGTACAGTATTTGAGTTCAACATTGTGAGAGAGTAGAAAGTACAAGGTATTTGTGTTCAACATGTAAGAAGTAGAAAGTACAGGTATTTGAGTTCAACATGTGAGAAGTAGAAAGTACAGGTATTGAGTCAACATGGAGAAGTAGAAAGTACAGGTATTTTGAGTTCAACATGTAAGAAGTAGAAAGTACAGGATTTGTGTTCAACATGTAAGAAGTAGGAAAGTACAGGTATTTGAGTTCAACATGTAAGAAGTAGAAATACATGTATTTTGAGTTCAACCATGTAGAAGTAGGAAATACAGGTATTTGAGTCAACATTTAGAAGTCAAAGTAATAAAGTGAGTCAGAAAAATAAGTAGTGGAGTGAAGTACTGATACCAGGAGAACATGTACTTAAGTACAGTTAACAAAGTATTTGTACTCCCACTACTTCCACCTAGTTGTAGTAATCTACTTACTTTACAATCACTGTATTTTGCTAACATTTGTCCTGGTTTTATTCGTTTCAATTCACATCAGGCAAAACCACAGACACTTTTATTTTAGATTGTGTTGTTGTTTTTACGAAGCTCATTGTCTGTTCCTCAGTTGATGAATCTGAGCTCCTGAGTGTTCTGACGGATGGAAAGAGGCGCCGTTCACGAAGGACGACAACCCCCCGCGGTCTGATGGAGAAAGTAGCTTCGCCACCCTCTTCCCCAAATACAGAGAAGCCTACCTGAAACGGAGTGTGGCCGCTGGTGGAGAAGGCCTTAGGAGAAGTAGTAAGTCATTATTTATTATTAAAAGGGTTTGAAAAAAGGATGTTTTTGTAACAAATGTTCTGCATGCACGAGGAATTGAACTTGCGTTGTCCGTATAATATGCCACGGTGCCATTTTGTTACCAAGTTTGACCAACAAGGTGCGCTGCTTTCTCAACCGTGTTGCCCTCAAGTGACTACTTATGGATTTAGTAGTAAAGGATTACGTTAAGATATCAACAAGAACAAAACCTTTTGGCACTGACTCATGTATACTATTAATACTTATTATCAAAAAATGTATTGGTGATAAAAAGTATTATTCATCTCTACCTGAGCCCCCTCCCTCCAATATGCCTGGATTAGTCCTTAATGATCGAACATTGTGATAATATATATATATCGCTTTTCGTATTCTAACAACACTTTTACAAGCAAATAAAATAGAACTACCGTAATTTCGGACTTATAAGGCGCACGCTGAAGGTGAGCTAAGCGCGCGCAGCCAAATGAATGATGCGTGTACATATATTAAGCGCTACTGGACTATAAGCCGCAGGGTTTTAATTTCATTACCAGTATGTAAGGGTCGTGCACAGAGGGGATTGTCGGGAAAAGAGTGGCTGTTTGAGAAGCTCCCATTTATTAACATTTCAACAAACAAGTTGCATATTTGCAAACGTATTAAATGTTACCATTTAGTGCAATAGTTAGCTACAAGGAACATGTGCTGGTAAACTGTACTGATCACATACGTTTCAACACACAAACTTTTTCGAACTTTCAAACTTAAACGTTTGCGCTCCCCAGCGCACGTGCCGGCAGTGATCTACAGCAGTGGTTTTCAACCAGTGGTACGGGGACAAACTGTCTCGCTCTCGTAATGTCTGTCTGTCTTGCTCTCGTTCTGTCTCTCGTACCACTCTCGGTTCCGGCCATAGAGCCCATAGAGTTAAAGGTGGTGGACTGTAACCTGTAAAATCCATAGATTTAGGAGGTCCCCTAGTGGCCGTTAGCTGTAAAAATCCATAGATTAGCCGCACCGTTATATAAGCCGCAGGGTCGAAAAATGGGAAAAAAGGCGCGGCTTATAGTCCGAAGATTACGGTACTAAGCCAAGTAGAACAATTAGGAGAAGGAGGGGGTGTGGGGTAGAAGATTAAATTTCAAAATCAAAAGTAAAAAGTTGAGTTTTGAAAGATATGAGAGTGTTGGAATTGTGACAGGGCAGAGCGTATGAAGCACCTGGTGATGTTCTAATCCTGTGTATTGTGAAACTTCCCAGCACATCAAAGCCACTCTGGATCTGATCGAGGGAAGCATCTCCGTTTGCACCTCGAAGAAAACGTACGACCCGTACGCCATCTTGAGAGGCAGAGATCTCATCAAGCTGCTGGCAAGGAGCGTTCCCTTCGAACAGGTAACGTTTCAGGAAGTCTTCGAGATGTTGTAATTACTGTTGCCTTGATGCATTTTACAACACATGCCACCCAGTAGATTTTATTTCCTGAAGGTTTTCTCTTCCTGCTTTTAGACATTTGTGATATCTGCTGTATCAAAATCAGTCGCATCAACCCCCGAAACACATTTTGAATCAATGTCAGACATTTTAAGGATCAAAAAATGGCAGTTTTGGGTCCCCTTAAACGTCTAAATCTACCCAAATCCGTCCACCGGGAATACATATCAACCCTGAAACACATCGTATTGATTATCTCATTTTAAACTAGTAGCATCAAGGACAAGGATGTTTATTTTACTTGAATAAGGGGAAACCATGGAAGAAAAAATGTGTGTTTGTTTGCTTATGTGTTTGTTATCCAATGAAACACACACAACACACACACCGCAAGTTGTAAAGCCTCTGCTCAGAGTACCTGGACAAGCTTTAATGCTGTATTCACCATCTGAATTTGGTGATAATGGTTAGGTCATCTTAAAGCCAATGTTGTTGTTTTTAGTTTTGGGAGGGAGCGGTGGTCACTGAACTTAAAAAGCTTCAAAAATGTATTTCTCGTCTGAATATGGCAATAAAAATGTAATGTTCTGAAAGCCAAGAAGCCCCAAAATGACCAAAATAAGTGTTTATTTTTACATGAATCCACGTTTATCTCGTGATGCGCCTTTGAGACATCTGACAGATTTCGTTAGCGCGGGTCACACGTGTGTTGACAGAAGACCAATGCCGAGTTTCTGATTATTGCGATGTCTTGCTGCCCCGTTCTTACATCTGTTTTGCTTCCAGGCTGTGCGGATATTACTGGACGATATGGCGTGTGATATCATCAAAATCGGGACCCTGGTGAGGAACAGAGAGCGGTTTGTGAAGCGACGACAGCGGCTGATTGGCCCAAAAGGCTCCACACTCAAAGTGAGTCCCATTTAAAAACAAACGGCTCTTCATCCAACACTGATCTCAGAGATACAGATTCCCTTTTGGAAATGTTTGACTGTTACCTCAAGGACTCTCTTTCATGAGAAGCCCGACTAAGCAATTTAATGCAGGTCACAAACATGTAGGATTTGGGATAATAGCAAGCATCTATTGAGTCCATAAGAGACTTGATTTGGGGCACCTCTAAAAATATGGTCTTCAGGCAATACCAGAAAAAGTGTTGAAGTGGTCGACGGGTGTTTTTTTTTTAGGAGGCCACTATCATTAGAACAAGGTACTACATACTGATATACACCTGAACATCAGCAGGAGAGGACTCTTTAAAGTAGAGACACTACATACTGATATACACCTGAACATCAGCAGGAGAGGACTCTTTAAAGTAGAGACACTACATACTGATATACACCTGAACATCAGCAGGAGAGGACTCTTTAAAGTAGAGACACTACATACTGATATACACCTGAACATCAGCAGGAGAGGACTCTTTAAAGTAGAGACACTACATACTGATATACACCTGAACATCAGCAGGAGAGGACTCTTTAAAGCAGAGACACTACATACTGATATACACCTGAACATCAGCAGGAGAGGACTCTTTAAAGAAGAGACACTACATACTGATATACACCTGAACATCAGGAGGAGAGGACTCTTTAAAGTAGAGACACTACTGATATACACCTGAACATCAGCAGGAGAGGACTCTTTAAAGTAGAGACACTACATACTGATATACACCTGAACATCAGCAGGAGAGGACTCTTTAAAGTAGAGACACTACATACTGATATACACCTGAACATCAGCAGGAGAGGACTCTTTAAAGTAGAGACACTACACACTGATATACACCTGAACATCAGCAGGAGANGTAGTGTCTCTACTTTAAAGAGTCCTCTCCTGTGTAGTGTCTCTACTTTAAAGAGTCCTCTCCTGCTGATGTTCAGGTGTATATCAGTATGTAGTGTCTCTACTTTAA